AAAAACTATAATTATCGTCCAACATATCAAATATCCGTTAAGTTATAAATTTTCACGGCATTTTGTAGTAGTGTAGAATCGGAGACGATTGAACCAAAACATGTAACAATCGAAAACTTGTTTCTTTTTAACCTTAAAGCTTTTTTATAACTTGAGAACCCAGCCAATTATAAGCAAGTATTACATTTTTGTTCACTCAGCAAGCTGAATCGGCTACATAAACGTTCTCAGAGTGCGAACCGGACTGGTGACAGGCGCAACGACCTTGCCTGGCGTCCGCTCAGACCGGCCGTTATCCCAATCCCGAATTCCATTGATGCCTTTAATCTGGGCCGAGTTAGATTACCGACTTAGACGATTCGCGATAGTTTGTTCGATATGAAGTTTTGCGTGAATTTGGGCGATGTTCGATGCGGTTAAGTTTGTTTATCTGTCTTCTTTTTCGGTGGTTGAACTGTTTGGTGGCGTCTTGTTTTGAATTACTTAGCTACTGTAGCCTATGTGATACTTGTCTGCTGATTTCCAGTTACATGTTTGTTTATTACTATGATTTCGCGAGGAAGATAAGTTAGGTTTTTTAAGGTTAAATTCGTAGTCGTAAGTATAGTATCTATGTTGTTATGTTAAAAATTGGCAGTATTTTTACAAATATTTTTTAGAAATCTATAAGATAAAGCTTTTTATTTATTAGGCCGTGGCCGTGGTGGATGTAACGGCTATGTTTTTTGCTCAATACGACAGCTAAAACTTTTTGTAATAAATTTTAGTTCAAATGTTTTTGCGATTAAGTAAAAAGGAGATTACGTGTTACTTACAATTTTAATCTTTAATCTTTTTACATACATTTCGTTATTTGTTTTTTTCTGAGATCAGAGTATTACAAATTAAAACATTGAACTCTGTATCGCGAAACTTTAGGCCCTCTGAAGTGACTTAAAAACATACAGAGGGATTTTACTGAAGATTCTAAGAACTAAGCTCTTGTTACAACTACGATTACTGGCTAATCTTAGTTCAAGAAGTTTGATATTCTCGTTTTACGCAATTAGCGGCTAGCTGGTACCTTGTGAGCACTCCGGTATTATCCGATCCAACAATTTACAAATGAGAAATTATTTCAAAATGTATGGTATGTAGTGTTGATCTACAGATTTACGTATTTTTAAGGTTACAAGTATAGCTCCCGGCAAGTATTTCTATTCTACTTAACATATATACAGGGTTTACGCAAACCTTTAAAAATCACATGAAACCTGACATTATTTACGTGATTAATTCGTTTCTTATTATGCAATAGTACGTACTTAACGACTTAACTACCTACCAATAATCATAAAAGAAGACATGCAAAAAGAAGTCCTTAATTTATTACGATGTTTATTTAATAGGAATTACCCAAGTCCGCAACCACAGATTACTTTAACAAGTAAAAAAACAAATTAGAATGTATTACCATAGACAGGTGATTAAAAAAAACAAATGACGAGCTATTTCGTGTACCGTTATCATGGTACGACCCGAATGGTACGTATTTAATTAATATTTAGATATAACTTGTATGCAGATCGGTGTAACTAGGTAGGTATATTTACATACCTACTACTGGCTCTGTTTTTTGTCAGTTGAAAAAACGTGTTAGCGTAATTATCAGCGCAAACGAATTTAAAATTTTGGACTAAAATTATGATTGTTTTAATTGGCCAGACGTGACTATATTGTAGTCTAACTTCAAATAATGTCGATGTCATTGATCTAGCAATAATTAAGTACGAGGTTTTGGAAAAATCTCGCTTCAGGGCACAACAACCACTCTTATGAAAACAAGGAATACATGTACAACTGTTTTTATTTATCTTATTCTTAACTTTTTTTTTTCTTCTCTTTTATGCAATGTGATGTAAATTAAGTAATTTAATATTATTTTATAAGCTAAGTAATAGCCCTCTTTGCAACGCCTGAAAATGGCCGTTAAGCTGTGCCTGTTATTTTAAGATCCTTGTACCCATCTTAACATGCAAATAAAGAATTTGAATTTGTTTGTGAATCATAAGTTTTTTTACGTCATGTAATAAAATAAATGAATCATAAATATTGTTTATAACATTATCGAAAATAACTGAAATATCAACCTAATTAAGTACCTCCTTTCCATCTATCTTCAACAAAAACTTTACGACACTCGATCGTAAAACAAGTATATATTTTTTTTATTTTTACAATTTCCAAAGAGACCATAAACCAATAGACTGCAGTCTAAAGTATATGTAGGTTTGTGAAAATAAGTATCTATGTAGAACATTATTTTCGTGATTATGGTGGTAAACATGGAGAGTTGCCAACTAGGTGACTGCTTGGTTCAGTCTAGTGATATGATCCGCTAAAATTAACCTAGTGTGTTAATGTCTTTAACAATCCATTCAGGAAATGAACTAAGTAAAATGAAATCTGAATAAGAAAATTTGTATTTTAACACCTCATGATATTAGAAAAAGATTGTTACGATATAATTCCAAACTTTATAATACTATTAAGAAAATGGAAATTTATAAGAACCCTGCTTAAAAATGAAACATTATGTATCAGATTTTTGGGATAAATTTTCAAGATTGGACCTTGTTCATCATCCAACTCTATAAGGGATATCCTCTAAAAAGATTTCATAGACATACCATTTAATTTTGTATCATCAAAATTTCAATAGGTGCCTATTTAATAAGTTTATAAGCAATTATAACCAGTTCTTACTAGTTGTACCTAATACAGAACCTTTAACACACTAGCAGAGGATTTGCCCTCGACAATTAATAAAATTGTCCGCAGGCAATTACTTAATATAAAATTAATTTAATTTGGGTTTACTGTATTGTCTAAAAAACATTATTACACATACAATAAATGTAGGCAGAATTGGTGGTTAATCCCCGCTGAATCTGAGTTCCTTGTGTTTTAAAATACAGACAGATTTGTGACTTTTATGATTATTAATAAGGATATTTAAAGACTATTTATTATTATAATAATGGAAAATAATAAAGCTGAAGAAAATAATAAAACACTGATCAATGGAATGAAATGTATAAAAATAGATATTATGGAATGGATTGCATGTATATTATAAACAAAACACACATTCATCATGAAGGTATGTACACTATCTAGGTATATTGTTATGTATCATCATACCTGTCTAATGAACTAAGAATTGCATCATTTACCACCATATTTTATTTTTTTACTATTAATAAATCAAATCAATGACAGTAAACAGGATAACACTCCACAGACCATTCCATACTTTACTAAATCCTACTATCCTGCTAATATATCATTATAAGTAAATTTAAAAGTTTGTGAGAATGTACAGCTGTATGTTTGTTATTCTTTTATCAAAAACTGCTAGATGTATTTGGTTGAAATTTGGCTTAACTGTTAAAGTGTTAACTTGGATTAAAACATAGGCTGCTTCTTATCATTATACCATGAGGGTGAAGCTGGGTGTGGAAGCTGTTATAATTATACATAAGACAAAGTTAAAAGTGAATATATCCTTAGTTGAAACATAGCAATGTAACATCAAATTATTTACAGCCTAGCAAACCCATAAAATATACAACAGATCCACTATTGGCAATTATCTTGCAGTGGCCTTGTAATGACATGTTTATCTGTAGTAATGTCATGAAATAAATACTGTAGCTTATGATACTAATTTTTATTTATAACTACATAGCAATAAAATGTATTAACATATGCTAATGGAAAACTGTTTTTGTTTCAGCTGGTAGCATCCAGTCTTACATTATTGTTCATATGTAAAGATGGGTCTGTTTGAAAAAAAAATGACTTTTTCTTCATAAGGTGCATGGTTTTTATATTCAGTATTTATAAATAAAATATGAGCAAATTACTTTAATATAATAACTAAATGAATATGTTAATTTTATTAAGAATTCAAATAAATAATTTCCATTTTTGTACATGTTAGGTATGTTGCTAAAAGGCAGAGAGACATAGGAGATAACTTCTAAGTTGGCCTTTCATTAAGTACAGTACAGTATTAAAAAAGTTGTCAATCAACATCTAATTTATACATTTATTTTATAAAACTATTGATTATCTGTTGTACCTGATTAAATTAATAAGGTTGATGGTATTGAAACCAAAATAAAAATTGGAGTTATAGCTCAAATAAAAATACTGTTATGCAATTTGTAAGTATAATTCAATATTATCTTCAACAATAAAGGAATGCAAATTAGGTACTACAACATATTTTTTTTTATTATGAGAAAATTCTTAATAAGGAAACATTGCATTAGGTCAAGAACATTCAAGAAAAGAATAGGTGTCTATGTGACTGGCCATCAGATAGTGTCAATGACAGTTAATAAAAATTGTTTACATTATATTTATAAAAACAAAGTTAATCAGGATTATAAACTAATTAATCAAATGTTTATACTTTAGTACATTAGATAGTATTGCATTTTTGTCTGTTACAGCAAATATAATTCAATTAATTGGCGTCGAAAAGTTCGGTACAAATTCAATGGACAAAAATAGTTTCCTAACCTAAGATTTATAAAGAAAATAATACTTTTTCGCCAAGTTTGTGGTGCGGAACTAAGTAGAATGTGTAACAAGAAATGTCTAATGGGTACGTAAATACCTCTCACTGCGATTTCTCAATTTATATCAAAGTTTTCAGAAGGAAATAGAGCATGAAGCATGTTCAATGTTTGGTACATTCAAAGTTGTTTTTACGGGTATTTGCCGCTTCAAATGGGTAAATCTGGTTTTAGGGTGTATGCTCATGGCTTCGTCTTGATGTAAAGAAAGGAATCTTATCAGAATCTTTGCAATCTCTAGTATAATCTTCCGTTATCTTGCCCGGGCGCTCGACTGTCGCATATCACGCGTTCAGCTTTCGTGGCATATAAAATCCGATACATAAGATTTTGACAAAACATAAAATAAAATCATTTAGAATAGTAACTTACCTCTTGTCCAGAACAATTAAATAAACAGCAAAACGTAATCCAATATTTTAATTTCCAGTGATCCTGTTAGAGCGAGGGCACAACAAACATTCTTTACCGAACAACACTTGAAATTTAGTCACTAATAAACACACAATATCACACTAAATGTTAATAAAATTTATAATATTCACATATAAACACCGAATTATGAGAAATTTGATTTATTTCAACACCAAAATTCGGCAACGGTCGTTAACATCCCGTTCAAGTTGAAACATCGGCCATAACTAAAAATGTTGCCACTGTTTGAAAGTCACGTTATTCCCACTTCTTGACTCACGTGTGTCTGTGTTGCTATAATTAAATATTTTAATACCCCACACGTCTTTTTTGTGTTTAGTTTTTATATTGAGTTGTGATTTATACGTAATTTAACTATTCCTTCTTAGATAAATATTATATTATTGTCGTGTGTTGTGTTGTAACGGTTATAATATTGAAATAAATAATAAGGGTCATTCATAATGTAGCATTATTTACTCAAATGGTTATTTACCTATTGATCCGTAACGGATATAATTTCTACGCATTGGCTTTAAAATGTAATAGTCTCACGTAACAGCAAAATTCTAGGCTTGATGTAATTTTCTGTTACGAGTTTTTTTTTTATAAATGGTAATTTTTTATTTCACTCATCAAATGTAGCGTTTGGTTTCTGCATTAGAACAACGTGAAACCGGTTCAAAAAACACAGTATGATATTTTTGTAATATTTGTATTCGCCTATTGTTTCTTCTGAACTGGAAGACGGCTGTTGTGGAGGCCTTTTTAAAATCAGTCATGATTTTGCTTGTCTGTAATATTAAACAATTCACGTGTGCATTACATTCAGATCAACTGTGCATTAACCGTATGAATAGGAATCGAAACTATAACCCAGTTATTCAGCAACTAAGCTAACTGTATGTTTTTTTTATTCAGACGGACATTCTTTTAATTGCTTATTCCATTTCTTGGCAATTTTATGGTTCCTGCTAAATAGCAGGATAGGCTACAGGAATAAATGAACAAACACTCAATTATAGAATATTGAATTTAATTTTAACAATTCCTTCGTAACTAAATAAATCGCAACAACTTTATGGTACATGTTTTTAAAAGTCAGATTAGTTCACAGCTTCACGTCATCTCATCGAAGGGACAGCATACCTTGGACAGAGTACCAAACTACAATCATGGTCTTACAGAAAAAAATAATTAAAAAAACAACGATTCAAAATGACATTTAGTGACATCAAACTGCGAAAAAATGGCGGTTCCCGCCTATTTTTAAATACCATTTCACAAGCAACTAAATGTCACTTTATCGTATACATACAAGATAGACGAACATAGGACAAGTTGCTTAATAGTTACATCGATTAAATAGATGAGAGTATAAAAAGGCAGCAACGACCATAAAGCGGATATATTAATATGTACCTAATTATTACAGGCACAAGTTTTTTTTATCCTAACACATAGTAAAAGAGTTAATTTAGTACAAGATATATAGAGCTACACCAAATGTTAAGACATTGCTTTTTAACAAGTGATTTAAAAGCTGTTAAATGGTGGTAATATTTTTTGTACTATATTTAAAAAGCGAAAACTTTTTTAATAGATATAAGTACAAAGTACATTAATAGAAAATTAGGCCAAGCTTTGTGCTGCAAACGTAAGTATTGTTTTTGAACTTTTCTGTCGTTTCACCTTTGAAATATGCAAAACAAATATAGTTTGATAACTTTCTGATTCCCAAATTAAGGAAACAACAATAAATATAAATTATTCTATAAATTTTATGGATCCAGTAACTACTTACTCTAATCCAACAAAAAATAGATTACTTCAACTAAGTAATACAAACCCAAATGTCCTCATTCGGATATTGGGATATGATTTAAATTATTTTTGTAGTTTGTAGAGTAGTCCCCTCATTTGAAATGTCTTTGTATTGCGAAAAACTAGTGATCACAGAAATGATTAGCTTTGGTACATAGGTACTCAAAGTATGGCTTTACCGCAACTGGAAAAAGTTGGTTTGCCTGATCTTATTACCACCATTCAACAGTTAGTAGCAGACAAGACACGAACGCAACATGATTGTATTAGACATTGCATGGCAACATATGCCAACTCGACTAAATATATATATATATAGAGATGTAAATACCTATGTACTATCAAAAGTTAACTTCTAAAAATTCTCACTGAACTCTTCAAAGATTTATACATATTATTTTTAATACATACCATAGAATTTCAAGACGTATCTAGCTGTATTGGATACAAGTAAATTGAGATGAATATTACAATACTTACAGATTTAACAAGCAAAGACTCAGAAGGATTTGTCTTGAAATTGATCCCTTTCTAGTTTGTATCAATAATACCACTAAACACGTCTTAATTTTACAAAACTTATACAAATGGAATTTTCATAATTAAATGTTTTATTAATAAACAGTAAAAAGATCCGAAAAAATAACTACATCACGTCACCTGATAAAATATTATCTATATTGTACAATATATTAAAATTACACGAACAAAAAGCGTCAATTCATTAAAAAAAATATAAAACTTTTATTTACAACCTCTTTAAAATCAAATATATAAACTATGATTTTTCCTCTTTGGACTATAGATAGAAGGATATGTAGTTGATTTGAATTTAGAACGTCTTTCATACAATTGATAAAAAACAAAAAAAAATGGAAGACGCAACGAATTTTTGATTGCGTTCAAAGACTAAATACCATAGTTTATACATTTAAAATACAGTCTGCGCTTTTGGCACCAAAATAATATTGAACGACTACATTATAAATAGATTACAATACGATAATGTACATCAAAAGCCTCTTAGTGCTTGTTTAGTAGTTTATTTTACCACATCAGCCGACCAGTTCAAAATGTTATACCTACTCTCTCATAGCCATATTTGTATTACTAACTAAGAGTCACATATAGTATCAAGTTGAACATAATAAATCTCAAATTGTCACAAAATAACTAGTGGGTATGTAACAGGATGGAATTGCATTTATTGTTAGGTATTTGCTGAATAGTGTAACAAGTTTTAAATACTTATTTCTTTGACTATTTGTATGTATAAGACTTGATATTTGTAATTATAAGACAACACAGATGATTTTTTAATAATAATTTTCACATCGAGGCATTCAAACGAAATGCCTTATATCAGAAATAAATAAAGACTCATTTTCGAAATCCTCATTACACAAGAGATTTTCTTTAGGAAAATTTGGGGCTCTTCGGAAAGTTTTTATTATATAAATATATAGTTTATTTACATCACGCTAAAATTATGTATAATATTATATTATATGGCCAATTTACTTTTGATTATAACATTTTTTTTATACATAATATCTTTAATCTACAACACGAATCGGGTATCACAAGTTTGATTAAATGTAATAAGATTGCTACATTACAAATTAGTTTGCAAAATATAATAGTCAGGGCCTGTTTCACAATGTCTCCATAGGCAGAATAAAACGGGTAAGTTCACAAGAAACATTATAAATTCAGAATGTTATTTGTATTATTAATGGGATTGTATTCAAATGAGTTGGCGGATCACCTGGGAAGCAATGAGTGTCTCGCGTGGACGCTCGTTACACCAAAAGTGATACAAGTGCGTTGCCGGGATGTTTTGTTAATTTTTAGGGATTTGGGGATTGGAGATGAGGGTTAGTGATGATTGGACCTTTGGTAACCTCAATCACACTCACTGCCTATTCGTGTGTATGGCTTTTCCACATTCCCAGCATTATATTTATTATTTTTTATCCCCAATAAACTTGTATATGTTGCAAGTAGTATAAAGGGATACTATCTATGTATTTATATAAAGGTGGTGAAACACGCCCTAAGTTATCTAAGATATACATATTTTATTTTTCTCTAGACAAAGTCTTTACCTAAAGTAGTTTATGTTGTTTTATTAGGTTTCAACCGCTTTCCGATTTTTATATTCTGTTTTAAAATATAAAAAAAAATGTTCAATGTTAATTAAAAAAAACAGGACTCTTTCGCTTTGTAATTTTTCAATAACTTGTGTTTACAAAACCTTTTTATCTTTATTTATATAATAAAATAATAACGAAATAACTACAAAAATATCACTATAAATGCTGGTTTAAGTACTTCAATCGTATTTTGGAGTTAAACCGAGACCATTTTAATTAAAATAAACCCAATGTTTTAAATTGAGATCTGTAATTTGATATTGTACATTGTTACAGGTTGTCTTCAAAATTAAATAGTCACTCTATATTCAAACACTATTAGCTGTCCTAGGATAATTCTATTTAGAAATTTGTGGATTCGAAACATGGCAAGCACCATCAGTTTGAAGTTTTACCATGAAAGTAAAACATCGTTCTCGGTACCTGGACTTATAATTTCTAATTATAAGTTTTGAAATCGTCAATCCACCTTGAGCAATGTTGATTGATTCTCAAATCTTCCCCGCATGAGAAGAGGCCTTTGCGCAGTAGTGGGCACTTGATCATTATCAGTCTATAATGATCATGATGATTTACGGGGCGAAAAATACCACTATAATCAGAACAGCCGTTCGTAAGTTACAAATATGTTATTAAATACATGTTTTTTTTTTATAAATTATATGGATATGGATACAAATTTATATCACTTCATGTATATGCTGCTCAAATATACAATAAACGTGTATTACTCATTTTCCTCAAGTCTTTCATTAAACACGAACTCAACTAAATCTTATTAAAATCGGTACAGCCGTTTTTGTGTTACTAACATGATTTATGACTTTTATCACACACATATATAGATTTTGTTCAAACAAATAAGATGCTCATAATACAATAAGCGTACATTATCTGTCTCAAGTCTTTGATAAAAGATGCATTCAAAGCTGAATCTCATTAAAATCGGTACAGCTGTTCTTGAGTTTTCAACATCACAAATCACTTTTTTCAGACCAATATGCTGCTTACAATACATTAAGCGTACATTTTCCGTCTGTACTTAGGTCTATGCTAGTCTAATATACCGTTTGGCGTGGTACCAGGGTTGGTACATGTGTATATCTACGTCTGCTGGTCGCCGCAGCACGCTGTACAGTCGAGGCAGCCCTGCGGGGGACCGCCTCGCGACCGCTATCTTTTGCCGCGACATCCTCCTGATATCTGCTCCTAGAAATATAAGGTACTTTTTTAAACGTAGGAGCTTCACACTTAACAAACATATTTTTACACTATTCAGATCCGTCGCGTTCCATGGAGAGTCGGACCCACAGCGTGAGCACAATAACCAGTGCCCAACCATAACATCCATATAGCTAGATGGACTGAATATATCTGTAGGTTAGCAGGTAGTGGTTAGAAGAGAAGAGCTGAATAACAATTAATGGGTGGGCCCCATCTACGCAGTAAGCTAGCGTTCAGTTAGCTGGTCCCAAATCCCCGACGCTTCATCACTTTATTTTTCTATATTATGTGTTCGAACCACCAAAAAAATCTCTACCTACCTGTAAAATACGCATGGCTTCCAAAAGTTCCTGTTTGTCGGCCAATAAACTGGCCGCCTCCTGCTGAGCTGCGTGTACGCATTGCCGTAAAACTGAAGCTTCTTCTACTTTCCTGTAAACACAAAAATAACAATATTATTTTTTTGTATAAAAGAAGTCGGTTCATGCAAGTTCTACATAGAAGTACAAATGGGATTTATTATTATTATTATGTTATTGAAGCACGAATCGTAAAAGTCGGAGGCCAATCCTTCCCCTCCGCCAATCCCTAAATCCTAAAAATCCTAATCTACAATCTCCTTGTCCAAGGGAGGTGCTGATTGCTTACCATCAGGAAGTCCGTCTGCTCGTTTGCCGTCTTATCACATAGAAAAGGCTGTTGATTGATCCTAAAAAATAACACTACAAAATAAAATTTTATCAAAGGAGAGTGTAATAGTCGGGACTTACTCCCGTATATCCTTGGTCGGCGCCTAATTTCTTAATATACCTACTAATTTATTGCCTTACTCTATGAAACAAAGTCTAACTTACGCTCTCAACTCTCGATTATCCTCAGCTATCCTCGCCAACGTGACGAGCCGTTTCCTCAATTCCTCATTTTCCCTATTCAGCCTGTCAATCTTCTCTCTGGCTTCATCCAACTCTGGTTGTGGTTGTGGCGTGGCTGGGGATGCTATTGTCGAAGGTGTGGACACTGGTGGACCTAAGCGGACCACTCCAGCAGTATCCCTGGTCATCCTTAAAGTAGTCAGGTCAATGTCCAAAGGTTGAGGTGGTGGAGAAGATATAGAACGGGTTGGCCGGTCTTCTATGAGGTGGAGTTTCACATTTTCTATTAAGACCTAGAAGATTTAATGAAGAATCTAAGTGGTTGTTGATACAGAGAGTTGATTTAAGAGACACAAGTGTAAAATATTTCATTATCATCATCAGCCTATAAATGCTTAAAGCTGAGCTAATACCGTTTTTCACACGGAGGTTTGAACATCAAGGCGGATTGGCGAATTCAAACTTATAATAGTGCTAATAATAAGTTGTCAGGGCCACCAAATAAATATATGAAATACTAGCGGTCGCCCGCGGTTCCGCCGTGTGGATGTTAGTTTTACACTTTTTCAAGATTTTGTTAAAATTTTCTCTACGTACAAACCTTTTCTGGACTTCAACGAATAATTCAAGATCAAAATTAACCAAATCGGTAAAGGCATTATTGAGTTATAAATTTACCACGAAAAGTGGCATTGATTTATATATATAATTTTATCGTTTTGCGCAAAATTATTGGCTACTTGCGCAAAGGATGGTATATTGCGAACTCCAATTACTAATACTTACAACACTATAATACTAGACTTTCTTAGCAAGACTAGATACTAGATATTTTTAAACATATTTTAATAAAGGTGTAACTTTGTTTTTTATTATTTCTGTTTATAGAGTAAGTTACTACCTCAAGCGGCATAGGTGGCGCCACAACTTCATCTTCAATCAACTCGGCGAGCGCTAACGCTGTGCTCATGTTCAGAGCTATACTAAGATCACGGATCCGAGCCTCCAGTAACTCTTCGAATGGTGCTAGACCCTGAAGAAAATGTTGGAAACCATTATAATTCTGTTGGGGCTAAAATAAATTGATATACATACATATCAAAAGATATTATAATATATTAAACAAAGTTTTTTATATCAACAAATAACAATAATAGTAGTAGCTATTTTATTCGTTGGCGTGGTAGCAGCACTGCTGCCACGCAACGAGTCGCGGGTTTGATCCCCGCACGGAACAACTCTGTGTGATCCACAAGTTTTGTTCCGGGTCTGGGTATAATGTGTATGTGAAATTGTATGTTTGTAAACGCACAACACAGGAGAAAATCCTAGTATGGGGCAACGTTTTTTTATAACGAAAGATATTTTAAAACTTGGTCCTAAAGCCTTAATAAAAAATACATACCTTATCCTCAGGTGCTCTCGGTAGCTGAGTCCTCACAAGTCTGACGGCGACCAGAGGCTCATTCTTCGGCGACAGCTCATCACTTTCAGAGACGACCGGCTCCGACCAGGCGCGCGCCCGCATTGAGAACTTGCTCTGTGTTCAGAGGGACGCATTTAGGGAAGGAAGGGGGATCACGACAAGGGTTGGAGACGGCAGATACTTTCAAACATGTTTATTTAATCTTAAGATCAAAAAAGTCTCTTAGTTGATTACTTTAAGGTAGGTTTTTAATAGTTGTTTGTAAATTTGAGTTCAAAAGTAACGGCCGGTGTATTAAAACGGTTACAACGTCACACGAAGCGGATATACGTCACAAACACCTTTACACTGTGTGGATGGAGATGAAAGGACAGTGCGGGACATGCAACATTTATATCACACTTAATGAAAACGTTTTGCACTTTTTTCGACATAGAGTTCAATTTTGATTGGCACGTTCAAATTTGTAATTGTTTTGCGTAAAAATAAATATTTTTAAACATTTTTTTGGTAATTGTGAATGTAATTTTTTACTTTTAATCAAAGTGCAAAACTTTTTCGTATAACACATTGTATTCATGCAGAAGCGTAGAAGAAATTCTATAGAACATATTATTTATGACACACATAATATAATGTCAAGATCTGTAAAAATATTGTTTGGCATGTAATTTTATAGGGGATATTTATTTTAAAACTTGCGACTTAGCATAATTTTGTATATTTTGTTTTTAATAAATATAATAGAACTTTTACTGTCATGCAAAATTCTGTATAAATATATAATTGTAAGTTTCTTTCCACTTTTAAGATACTAGGGTATAATGAAATGTAGGAATAAAAATTGTCAGCAAAGGGCTTCCTACCTGAGCCTTCAGATGGCGCTGGCGAAGCTAAAATGGCCGACATGTAACAGATAGCAACGAAGCAGTTGTAAAGATGTTTCTGGTCTCAAATTGGTAGTACTAGCACTTGCGTTTGGTTCAAAAGTAAAAACAACATGCAATTTCAAAGATTTTTGATAAATTAAGTCTTTTGATGGGCTTTTAAATAAATTTCAAGAAAATAAGTGTAGACTCATGTATCAAATGTAGACTCGAGTGAAACTTGAAGAAATGTTTTCCTCAACCAGACGCAAACACTAGTTACAAATTTCAAAATAAACAAAAAGAGACAGAAACATCCTTTGTCTCACTCATACACAGACAAACCCCCTTGGCTACGACACATAACCTCTACATCTATGGGCACTCAACATAATGATACCACTACATCGTGTCAAATGATCTATAGATCACCTATAGATCGTAGCTAAATACCTTGAGACGGTTCTTTCGATTCACGATAGCCGAGCGGGCGGGAATTGCCATAGAGGAAAAAACACACATAGACACATATAGTTAGAGATAAAATGGATGCATTCCAGTTTGAGGACGGGTTTTGAAGCGAGCGATTGTCGTACGACTTTTGCGCAACCTTTGCGCTAGTTTTGCGCAAAGGCAATTCAGTGATTTTATTACATTATTGTATTTTCTTCGAGTTTTAAATGTAGCAATGTAGTCGTTCGAAGGTCGCTCGCTCGGAAACCCGAAGCCTTATCAACATAGTTTAGTATTACAGCGATACACCTTACTGGGTACGAGATACAATGATCGTGATGATACAGTCATGCACATCTGATGAGGCAGCGTCATTTGATATTAAATATATTTCAACAAAAATCACACACGCTCTTAAGGTTTGTGTATTAAAAATGACTTCAAAGTTTTCAATGTTAGAACATATCCAAGTTTTAATTAGCTTATTCGTTGTCCCTTGACGTCTAAGTCTCAATTTAAATTATATACACAGATATGCGAAAGTTGTGAGGTGGTTAATAGAATCCTCTATTGTTTGTGTATAGAAACAACAGAAGTAGATTACATTTTATTTACAGAATATTAAAAAAAAACCCTAATTTGACTGATGCATTATTAGGATAAGTTATTTAACGTGGTATTAAATTAAACAGCCTTTTCTTTTTATTGAGAATCTAGTTTTTCTATTCTTCGTGGAAGAATCTGTCGCAAATATAAGTGTTAGTACCAGTGGCCTATAAGGTGCGGTGATTCCGCAAGAGCGACTCAGGCCACAGGCAACAGGCATAGGAGGAACATCGAGGTGGTTTTAGTCTGTAAGAATCCGGCACTCCCCCTTGACGACCCCACGGCGAGGTAAGATCTCAGATCCCTCTTAGGTTGTTACAAAAAGAACAGTATTATTCTTTCACCAAGCACATGTGATTTTTTGAAATTAAGTAAATACTTAAAAAAAAACACCAAAGACACTGCCTCCGCCTGGAAGACTATCAAAGAATGTAAGGTCAGAAAATAAAATAATGCGGACTGTACCGACGCATGCTATGTTATTATTAATATCAACATTATATAAGTATCAATTCTCAAATAATACTTGTGTATTAACTAAAATTCGCGGGTTACTCACGTGTAAATGTTGAGAAAAGCTCTACTAGTTTCGAACCACAGAGGGGTTCTTCCTCATGAGCAGCGTGCGCGGACGCGGCGACGTCGCGCAGCCTACGCGTATATGGTAGGCTGCGCGACGTCGCCGCGTCCTAGTACTAGTAGAGCTTTTCTCAACATTTACACGTGAGTAACCCGCGAATTTTAGTTAATTTAGTATGTCTCACGATAGTTATTACTTGTGTATTGTAAATTATGTATTTTTATTATTATTATTTATCAAAAATATAACATGTAATAAAATGTTGTAGGTACATTATGTATGGATGTCATATTAGGATAAGTACTGTATTTTTAGTATCAAAAATTATTTTGAAAATAGGTGTGGTAAAATAAAAAAAAATCAGTGAATGTGTATGATGTTTAAATATCGGTAATTTGTAGTGAAAATGTCTGGGAACTTTATAAGTAATATTCAATAGTCTAAATTGTTTTTTAAGGGTTGAAAACTAGACATTTTCAGTACAACTAGTTTTATTTGCACATAAAGATATTTGCTTGTAACTTTTCTTGTAGTTGGTAGGTATTTTATTTTAAAATGGTTTAACTATATCAACTAAGCTCGATTACGTAAAATCGGAACGAATACTTTTAAAAATGCTTACATTTTGATTTTAAATTCAATAAATCTAAAACTTTTCGCTGAACAATCTATTTATACTAACATTATAAAGAGGTAAAATTGGTAAGTTTGTATGCAGGGGGTTATCTTTGGAATAGCAGGTCGAATTTCCAAAATTCTTTCACTGATAGATTTCTACAATGTTCCTGAGTGCTATAAGCTACAAATTATTTGCGTTTTTTAATCGAGCTATCTATCGCTTTAAACGCTGCTGTTTTTACGTGCGAAGCTGCAGGCGGCCGCTAGTTGTCTACAAAATTGATATCTAGCTCATCCACCTAGATATGTACAATAATATTTGAACATACCAACTTCTATTACAAAGAATCTTTTTAAGGAACACATATCAATTAAACTCAATTTATTTCTTACTGTGGAAATCAACCTACCAACTACAAAAAAGTTCCGTAGGTAACCAGCGTAGGTGTGGACATCAAGGCCAGAACTCACCTGGAACTCATCCCATGGTATAGCGTTGCACTCGTCACTCTTCAAGTCGTCAGCAGCCAGTCTTAGGCGCGACCTCCCCCCACCACTTTGGTGGACAATGTGTATATTGTTCAGACGCCAAGTACTTGTTGATATCTTGAGGGTAAATTTAATTTAACGATTTAGACTAACATTTTGGTTATAAAATGTGTGATGATGACGATGACTTGGAAAAGGAATAACTAACATAATAAATATATGTAATGGATATGTTTTTGAATCACTCAAGTAAATATCGTAACTCGTGTCGATAGTAAGAAGTTACGAATCAAATAGTCGATGAAAAAACATAGTACTTAGCCCCTAATATAGCTAGATAATCTCAAAATTCAAACAAAGCGAGACAAAATCATTTTTTTACAGTTTTTATGTAATAAAATCTCTAATTATCTGAATTATGATCTATGACGGAGTGAAACAGAAACACACAACGAAGCGATGACGTTACAGACGACCCGTGTTTGCTCTTGCTTTGAGATTAGTAGGATAGTACCTACCCTTAATGGTCTCAAACACAAAAAAATCTACATAATGTTAGAAATAGTATAACTACATTTATAGTCTGTATGTACTGCTAATTATATAAGTTTAAACTGGTCTTACGCTTTTAAAACTTGCGCCCTAATTAATCTAGGTAGTCACAAAACAAGATCTATCATTAGCCTAAGTTCAAACCATTGACCCATTTGTTGTACTTCAAATTGAAGGTAGGTGAAAATAAGATTCAAAATACAAAACCCGATTCAATGGTTTAGACCTAGGTAGACTAAACAAAAACCTTCGTTCAGTAATGTCTAATAAACTTCGTGATAGAATTTAAATAAGAGTAATAAAGACATACGACATCTCTCCTCCTGCACGAGCTGGTGACAGAGTGGTCGCTCGGTGAAGAGGATCGTTCGACCACCTCGGCTGCCACCTCGACGCCACTCGACGACGCTGCACGTCCATGTTCAAATTCTCTGCCAAATTATATATTTTTTTGTTTTTTAAAAGAGACTTTGCCTCACACTAGGATTTTTTCCTGTGTCGTGGGTGCGTTCAAATACAACAACAACAATTTGTGGATCACACAAAGTGTTGTGGATCACACAAAGTGTTGTTCTGTGCGAGAATCGAACCCGCGGCACGTTGTATGGCAGCCAGTTGCCCAGCCACCGCGCCAACCGTGCAGTCAGTTACTAAAATACTAAGCTTGCCCCAGGTGCAACGCTAATACAATGCATGTCTCCATATTCACGTGATTATTTTAACGAGATCCTCGACTAGTTTCAAGCCATGCTAGAGGCCCACATTCATGAGCAGCATTCCGCGACCCGCGACGCGGCGAATGTCGCGCTGCAACTGTGGCTACTATACTCGAGTATCTCGACAAAACAATTAGGTGAGTAAGCCGAAAACATAATATTTAATTTAGTATGTCTCACGACTCACGAAAGTTAAAATAAAAATATTTCTCCACTATTTATTCTATACTAATATTAAAATTTTTAAGTTTGTATGTAGGGGGTAATCTTTATAATTATTAACATACATACAAGCCACGGGCAGAACCTTCTCTTACCTAAAGGCCATATCAGCATCGTCGGGGGACTCGGCAGCCAGGCCGACGACGACGTAACGATCACTGTCGGAGCTGGCAGTGGACGCGGCGTCACTGCGCGTGTCGTCCCGCGTCAGCGCGCTGTCTATCGACGTCACTAGCGACGTGAAGCCACGACGCATTGACGAGAATCCTGTGTGAAGTATGATATACCATTAGAGACCAACTGGTTCATTATCATCAGCCTATAAGTGGCTAATGGTGAGCTAAGGCTTCTCCTCGTATGGAGAGTTTGAGCATTAATCACCGCACCTGCTTAAAGCAGTTTGGTGATTACAAAATTATAAGTCCAGGTTTCCATACCATGTTTTTATTTATCGTGTATCTTTATTTTTTGAAATGCAACCTTGTAAGATATTGTGGTAGAAATGGTAGGAATAATAGGAATGTAGGAATGATATTTCGTTACAATTAAGAAATAATCCCTAACGTTAGTGGTAACTCAACATACAACTATTCCAATCTTAATTTATTTTTCATTAGTCTCATAACAACAAGGTAAACTTCATACCTCCAAAACTCAATCCAGGACTAGGCGGAGGCGGTTCTTCAATGGGTATCGGCTGGTAGACCTCCACGGAGGTGGTGGCCAACACGCCGCTGTCACGGTCCATCATAGAGGGCGCCATTGTCGCCTCAGAACCTACTGAGGTTTACAGACATTAGTATTCATTTGCAAATGTATAGCAAAAAAGTACAAAGACGCTTTGTAAAATGCAAATTGGAAAAAATAACGTATTGTTTCAGATTTTAAATAATCTGAGAAAATACGTTTTAGAATGTTCTTTATGTTCTGCCAGGATTATTTTATTTTTACCACATAGAAAAATCAAATTACATTGAAAAAGAAGAGCGAGAAAAAAACAAAACAATAGTGCAAGTGTGTGAAGACATAAGAACTTAAAAAAAAGTAAAAAATTTGAAAGTGCAGGCATAACAACAACTGTTTTGCGTGAATTGGTAGGGCTGAGTGCCTAATGTGAGTTTGCTTAAGGCCGGCTCCACAAGCAGGCACCAACGTTGGCCCCAACGCTATTCGTCCAACGTGTGTATCAAGAAAATATCATTAGCTCCAACGTTGGAGCGACCGTTGGTAGTTGGCCAGCGAGAATCGGTTTTATCAAAGGAATATGTGCCAAAATTCGCGATCTATCCATATACTGGCGCCAAGTCCAGTCCTGTTGCAACACGCTTCGAGTGCGTAGGTCAAAGTAAAAACTAAAGGTAAAGAAACAACTTACACTAGGCACTCAGGCTTTCTAGCCTACTCCAAGAGTAGCCATAAGAAATGCTGGGCTGATATAGCTATAGTCAGAATTTTAATTCGATTCCTGATTTGACATGACCTGCTGTCATTTTGTGAAATAATGATACCACTTATAACAGTGTAGTAATGAAAACAAAAATCGATAAACAATCAGTGAATCAGTTTCAGGAAGGCATTCAAAAAATTACGGCTACCGAATGGTCTAAAATGCGTATCCCGTGTTGTCAAAGAAGAGGAAAAAATGAGTAAGCTAGATATGTTAATTGACAATAAATATCACTGACAAAATTCATAATAAATGTTACAGAAAGTAACAACGATAGCGATAGCGATGACGGCGACAATTTATAAGTTTTATTTGTCATGTTCCCTCATGATCACATTTTTTTATTAATTCCACACACTATTACGAAAGAAAAGTCACAGATCGTTAATTAATTGTCAAAACTAAATTATCGGTTCAAAAATATTTTATTTTCTGTTAAACTTAGTTTACAAGATTAAATTTATAAACGAGAGGAATCGATTTAGAAATATTCGATTTCCATATCGAATAATTTCGCAACGTCACTATTTAGTACGTGTCATAACGTTGCAACACTGAAATTGTCAAATCTGGAATGGAATTAAAATTTCGGGTATAGTATTTTTTTAAGGTTGACGTATAAATTTTTACTTTGTAACCATACTATTTTATTTGAAGCTTGATTGCAGCAGTTATGTGCACATTTTAACAAAATTGTACGAGTGATATTAAAGCGCAAAAAAATTCGATACACATAACTATTTATTACTTTAATTAAGTAATATAATATAACACTTTCCTTAACATAACGTGTTAGTAACAAAATATGCAGTGGAATAACATTTAGCGTGGATTTCTTGTTATATTTTTGAACCCAAAACTTACTGCAATTCTCTTCGAGCGGCGTGGACGCGCCTAGCGTGGATACAGTTTGATGCTCTGCCCAGTAACACCCAGATAGAAGAACGTGAAAATAAATATAATAGACAACTTAAAATAAAGTAAGTATAGATAAATAATAAAAGTAGAAAAGTTATAAGTAAGAGATATAAGAAGTTGTTTAAAATACGTGTTGTTTGTTTATCATTCACGTCACATTACAACATAGGTATTTTATTTATGACTCTATTTTTATTAGCTAGATAACTATAAATTGTGTCTTAGCTTTTATGTGACTTAAGGCTGATTTTTCAATAGTCAGATAAATGTTATCTATACTAGCTATACTAATATTATAAAGAGGTAAAATTTGTAAGTTTGTATGTAGGGGGCAATCTTTGGAACCGTGGTCGGATTGCCAAAATTTTTTTCACTGATAGATGGCTACAATGTTCCTGTGTGCTATAGGCTATAAAACATCACGCTACGATTAAATGGAGCCGAGCAGCGGGTGAAACCGCGCGAGCGTAGCTAGTCTGAGGAATAAAATTGTTGCTGTCACTGTCTTATACAAAACATTCTGACGCGACAACGTTATAATTATTTCCCAGGTAACTTTTATTTAACCATTGAAATAGCAGCCCTTACACAATACTTATACTTCTTAAATACTAGTAAATTTTTGAATTTGAAGTAAGAAACCAAAATGTATGTAAGTATGTTAAGAAAAATCTACATATGGTACTCAACGCACGAGGAGATTTGTAGATTATCAAAAAAGAATGTCTTGATCCGTGTGGAGATAGAACCTGCACAAGTTAAAGATCATAGCTAAACGGTAGTACAAGAAAGGATACCCACCCATTTTCAAGTCTTGTAAGCTGGACGAGTCCAAAGGCACGCTGTCCAGGTCTCTGGAAGACTCTTGTCCGGGACAGTTGGATGGAAGCACAAATGTCAATTCCACTGCTGGTACCACTACGCCAATTACAATAGTCCTAGAAAAATAAAAGAAGATGTTGATGTGAAGTTATTTTTGTCAAATTCATTGATTTTGGACATGTTCAGACAGATAATAGGTGAGTAATATAGGTGAGAGAGCCATGCTTCAGTGATACCACGGCCTCACAGAACACCAACGTGAACAGACACTTATGTTGTTTATAACCGCATGTGTGAGGTTATCGTAGGCCCAATCTTACCCCCATCATCCTCAATCCCCAAATCCGTAACAACTCGCAAAAGTCGCGAATGAAGAAGAGAAAGTTAATTCAAGTGAGTTAGTTGTTATTCTAAATAAATTTTGTGTCTCACGATAGTTATTATTAAAAAGGTCGCAGAAGATGGCGCTTTTAACTTCTTTGGTTAAAAGCTAGACCTTGTATCACACTATTTTGTATTTTCAAATTTTAACAGCCACAGTATCAGCCTGGCGAGGAATAAACGGTACAATAACATCATCAGCCTATAAGTGCCCACTGCTGAGCAATGACCTCTTCTCACATTGAGAGATTTGAGAATCAATCGCCGCGCTTACTCAAGGCGGATTGGCGATTTCAAACTTATAATACGGTAGTTTTCAACTAGTCAAATTCAATAACTTTATCCAAGCGACAAAAACTATACTCTTCTATGAAATTTGTATAAAAACTGAGTTATGATGTCATGACATTTTTGCGTCAAATAGCTTACTTATCTATACTAATATTATAAAGAGGTAAAATTTGTAAGTTTGTATGTAGGGGGTATTCTTTGGAACCGCTGGTCGGATTACCAAAATTCTTGCACTGATAGATAGCTAGAATGTTCCTCAACAATAAACGGTATACACCATTTTAAGCTCATTCATAAGGATCCTTACCCATCTTCAGCATCAGGCTGCCTCTCCGCATCATGAGCGAGCCAGGCTGTCATCTCGGAGATCCTTTCCAGTTGCCTCATGAGGAACAGCATCTGGTAGTGATTCAGCTGGAGACCAGCCAGTCCGCAGGTACGGGCCACTATCCAGATACGGGAGAAGTTGTCCGCGAAACAGAGCTGAGGAGAATTAGGATGTTTTTAAGATATTTTTATTATTAGGACATATTTCATTTTACGATTTTAGAACAAATTTGAAAAAAAAACCTACTGATATTATTAATGCTAATTGTGGGAGTGAAACCACAGCCTCACATAAGTGAGTGAGTGTGTAAGTGAAACGAGTGAGTAAGGTTATCGGAGGCCAAATCCTCCCCCCCCAAATCCACCCTCCCACATGAGGCTGGCAACGAACTTTTATTAGGTAACTTCTTTGAATGCTTGCCATCAGTTAATCCATCTGTTCATTTGCCGACTTATGACATATAAGATGTAAAAGTTTGTGAGAACGTATGTCAAAAACTACTGGATCGATTTGGTTGAAATATGGTATGTAGATGGGTGAAACAGTTGTTTAACAAATAGGCAAACCGTATAAATAAATATATTTGTTGACAATGTCTGTGAAGGGTTACGAGGCCGAAAAACTAATTTGAAAGAAAGAAGAACCTTGCAAATTGCACAACATACCCAGGCAGTGAGCGGCGTGGCGTCGAGTAGCGGCGCGGGCTTGTAGTTGGTGGCGCGCGCGCCGCAGAAGTCTGCCCACAGCGGCTCCACGCGGGCGCACCACACCGACCTACTCTCGCGCCACAACAGCTCGGGGCTCATCGCCGTGCCGCGCTCTATGTCGTCCAAGTCTGGGGGGATGATAAATGTTATATCAGCCATCAGACCGAAAATACATTACATAAAAAAAACATGTCCCCACACCGAGCTACCTTTATTCGCAACAAAATATGAAATAAATATGCATTTAGGACTGACTACTTATATTGATTACTACTTTTATTGAACTTAAATCAGAATGGCACAGGTGTTCCCCAGGGTAGTATTTTAGGTCCTCTGCAATTTCTATTAACCATTAATGAGCCAATTGAAGACACAAATTAATTATCTTTAGATATTTTTTGCAGATGATGTGTCAGTTAATAGCAAAAAGCACACATCTTCACATAATTTGTGGATTACGTTAATATTTTAAATTACGTAAACCTTTTTTGTATGCGAAAGGACTTTCTGGCATAATAGCTACAAAATATAAAGGGTACAAAAACGGCCTTATCGCTAAAAGCGTTTTCTACTAGGTCCTCTTTTAGCGCACAGTCTTTTCGCACTTTTTTAACATTATAAATAAAAGATATACTCACTATCAGCATGTAATATGAACTGTTCATGTATAGGATCCATGTCGTCTACTGCGCACGGGAATTGATCCCGGGGCGGCGCGGACCGGCGCAACGCCGCTATTATGGATGCTAAGTCCGCGCGCGTTCCCGCCGAACCTGGAACAAATGTGGCCTATAGCCTATCCGTCTTTAGACTTATCCATCCTATCTTTAGAGATTTAAAAAGTATAAAAAATATTTCTAAAATATGTATTTTTCTTCAAGAACAAGTGTTATTCAAGTCGAAAATTACAAAAGTAAAATACGGTAGTTTCAAACTAGTCAAATTCAATACTTTTATTCAAATGTCAAAAACGATACTTTTCTATGAAATTTTTATGAAACACTGAGTTATGAGTATGACGTCACAGCATTTTTGCGTCAAATAGCGTATTTATTTCTTAAAAATTAGCTAAAAAATATATGAAATTTAGTGTATCGATCGATCGATGAATAAAAGTATATTTCAATATTTTATTGTATTGAAACGTCGAATTAATTTATTTTTGACCTAGGAAACTAAACAATTGTCATTTTATTCGTAAAGTATCATTTTACTTCAAATCCACTAGGTCTCTAGTAAAGAGGGAAATATTAAAAACTTAGCCGTGGCGTTTTTCCGAAGATGAGGCTGGAAATGCGGACAGTTGTTAGCGGTGATTAATTGTTGTTTGTGTGAGCCACGCTTCGGCGCGAATAAGCGGCGGCGAAGCCAGCCGGCTTAAACGGAGTGATACCACGGCCTAACAGGGTATCTGTGTGTAAACCCACACCCGTAACTCCTCAGTTGTTGCGGTTGTACATGGGCGTCTGTTTGCTTACCATCAGGTAATTCGTCTGCTCGTTTGCAGACCTATCCTTAAAGGTATTTAGTGTTAGAATAAGAAGGAATATAGGTCGTGTAATAGTCGTGTGTACGTACATGTCCGCGGGGACTCTCGTACATTGGTGAGCGTGGCCCGCGCCGTGCAGAGGGCGAGCTCGCGGGGCCGGTCGCGCTGCGCTGACACGTGCTCCGGACCCGCCTCCAGCACCAACTGGGGACAAACATTACTATTCACTAACTCACAAATCACCAAAGAGGCTAGGTATGCTTTAAACCTGTTCATATATCTTTTCAAATAGTTCTGTAAGTTAGCAGTAAAACATGATTAGTTCCGTTATAATTTCTTTGTATGTCATTAAGGCTATAAAACATCATGCTACAATCTGTAGGAGCAGAGCAGCGGGTGAAACCGCGTAAGAGTAGCCAGTAATTAATAAAATTCCTTGTTCATTCACATTTGTCTCTTTGTATTTAAACAATTTAAGTGTCTTGTAAGCCTAAATTACAATAAAACGACTGACCTTGGGCATGATAGCTTCCATCCTGACATCCATGTATGCTGGAGGCGCCTCCTCCATCTCCATCTCCTGGCCCCGCGGCACCACGTGAGGTAGGAACGCGCCCAACCATACCACTGTGTTCACATCCACTGATATACGCACTGGACTCAGCTGGACGTATAGTTTTGGGGCTGGGACTGTGGACAACCCAACAAACATTAAATATCAAAGTCAAAGTCAAAATCATTTATTCCAACTAAACCATAAATAGGTACTTTTGAAACGTCAAAACAGAAAAGTAGTCTGTCAGTCTGTTCGTCAGTGAAGCTAGATGCTCATTCAGAATTGTAGATTCGAATGGAGAAGAACGAGCAAGATCGACCATCGTTACCCTTTTTTTTTAAATATTTGTTTTACAATTCCATTAATATAACATTTTGTATACATTATTGTACCCTTATGTGAGAACAATGCAGAGACAGGTTGTAAAAAAAAGAACAAATGATGGGATCTATCATTAAATTTTAATCCTTTATCGTCTCGAACATGGCGCTCTCAATCTTTAAGTGTTTCTATATAAACTCTTTGGATATATAATTAAGGATTCATTAATTTTTGTAAATATTTATCAACAGAGTTTTTATTCATGAGTAGCGTGCGCGTTTTTATAGGCTATTTATGCTATTTAGGTTGGCCGCGCGACGTCGCCGCCACGCTCACGTTGCTGATGAATAAGAGTCCCGCTGTGACTCGAAATTAGTCGAGCTTTTCTCAGTTTGTGTCACGGTAGTTGCTATTCAAAAATAAGTTAAGTCTTTTACACACATCCAGTACTTATAATCATGTGTCGTGAATACATTAAGATAGAAATTCCACATACAAAAGATGATCAGAAACAAACCAATTAACAATCAACTGACTTGACCGCAACAAATAGCAGTTTTTCATACAATGATATTTTACGCCACCTTGGCTTTTATGACGCTACACATACATAAACATACGCGCACACACACAGTAAAGTCTCGGGCTTTGAAGTTACAGTTGTATTTTTTATGTTTTTATAAAAAAAGCCTTCTCCTGTGTCCTGGATGCGTTTACAAACATATAATTTCACATACACATAACACCCAGACCCGGACAACAAATTATGGATCGCACAAAGAGTCACACAAAGCCACTGCGTCAACTGTGTAGTCGAGTTTATACCTGCAGTCTTTAATAGCAAACATTCTAATTATAGTAATACTAGCTTTCGCCCGCGGCTCCGCCCGCGTGGACTAATATTTTTCGTATCCCACGGGAACTGCATATTTTTCCGGGATAAAAAGCCTATGTGTTATTCCAGACTATTAATAACCCCTGTGCCAAATTTCAACCAAATCCATTCAGTAGTTTTAACGTGAAAGAGTAACAAACATCCATACATCCATACTTACAAACTTTCGCCTTTATAATATTAGTAGGATGCTATATAAACAGTACCAACTAACCAGGGAAGCATACGTCTCCAGGATAGTAGAAGAACGTAAGCTCAGCGTGGAGTAGCCCCGCGTCGCCTGGTAGAGTGGCCTTCTCTGCGCTGACTAGCGGACGGGGCGCGTCGCGGTTTTTAGACCCAGTTGATACCTGTAATATTTTAATACATTATAGTAATTAGTTAGTCTATATAACATATTACTTTAGTTACAATGTTTAATGTGGTGGCCCGGAGGTTAAAGCGCCCGCTTCTCGTGCAGAGGGTGCGGGTTCGAAACCTGGCAAGTACCAATGTGACTTTTTCCGAGTTATATGTACTTTCTACGATTATTTAGACACCACTGGCATACGGTGAAGGTAAACATCGTGAACCCGCATTGAGCAAGCGTGGTGATTAATGTTCAAACCATCTCCGTGTGGGAAGAGGCCTTTGCTCAGCAGTGGGCACTTATAGGCTGATGATGATGATGATGATAAAATATTTGAAAACTAGCGGATTCACTTAGGAAGTTAAGTTAATAAATAATATAAAATATATTGTTTACCTTGTAAACAGTGAAATCGTCTATCCTAAGTACAAGACACGTCGTCATTAATTTTCCAAGCTGCTGCAGTATGCGCGTCCTAGTCGGCGACGCTGCAAAAGAAAAAGAACCTTTAACATTGGACAATAAAGTTTAAAATAATGATACATAGAATTAACAATTCGTTATAGGCTTGATAATATGGTAGTTTTCTACTAGTCAAATTCAATACTTTTATGCAAACGTCAAAAACGATACTTTTCTATGAAATTAGTATGAAAAACTGGGTTATGACGTCATAACATTTTTGCGTCAAATAGCTTACTTATTTAACAATAATTAGCTAAAAAAAATCTAAAACTTGGTGTATCGATCGATCGATGGATAAAAGAATAGTTATTTTTCAATATTTTATTGTATTGAAACATCGAATTAATTTATTTTTGACATAGGAAACTACCTAATTAACCCAATTCAATACTTTTAAGCAACTGCTAAAGGCTATTTTGGTAAGGTGAGGATTTTATTATGACGTCGTTTTGTTTTGCGTCAAATACCATATTATATACCTTAAAAGAAAGCATGAAAATATGATTGTTTTTTTTATTTTACAAGCTGGCTCTGTTTATTTTATTTCAGTTCTTTGACACTTCTGAACGTATGAACCTTGTTTAAATAATAATAATAATGTAATTTTATTTATTAATATTTGTATTAATTAGAGTAATAAATACTCTATGTATAATAAAAAAAAAATATGTAACGTGTCAAGTATCCCAACATAATTTTTTTCACATTATCTGGAATTGAAAAGGTGTGTAACCTCTGAGTTACGGCATTTCTTCTCAGAGTAGCTAGATAGGCAATGACGGCTTTATTTTGAGGTGAAAAAATTCTGTTTAATGGCGTATTTTCAAAAATAAATCCATTGTTTCTTTGTTACCTCTGGCTCTTGTGTCGTGATAATAGATTCTGAACTTTATATCTAATTATTAATAAGGTTGAAAATGTATTGTGATCGTACCTTGTGAGGTAGTAGTAGAGTTAGTGGACGGAGCGTTGGAAGCGCTTTGTTGTGTGGGAGTCTGTTTGTGCTTGATGCCGTTAGAGACTGGCTCCTCCGGCTTTTCTGCTTGACTCATCTGGAAATATACGTAAACATCAAGTATGAAAGGGAGACCCATGTTTCTGAACGAATGGGTCGGCTCGACCGGAATGATACCACGGCCTCACAGAAAACCGACGTGAAACAGTTACAGCGTTGTGTTTCGCCGTGTGAGTGTGGTTATCGAAAGCCCAATCCTTCCCCTCCCCCGACCCTTCCCGAATCCCTAAATCTCCAAAACCCTAATCCCTAAAAGGTCGGCAACGCACTTTTAACTCCTCCGTTGCGGGTGTCCATGGGCAGCGCTGATTGCTTAACATCAGGTAATCCGTCCGCTCGTTTGCTGACTTAGACATAAAAAAAAATTACCTTGGAGCTAGGAGTGAGAGGGCGCGGGTCGAGCGAGTCTAGCAGCGTCGTGCAGAATGAAGACAGAGCCTGCGACAACCACTGGCTGTGGGGGGTCGCCGCCTCCCTGGAAATACAAGATATAATTTAATACCACATCAGCAAATTCAATATTATGCTCCGTTAGGGGAATTAAGTTGTCCAAATGCGTAATAGCTTGTATATAGTGAATTATATTTTTTTTTTTTGTAAATTTATTTTTTTGTATTTTTTTTCTGAATGGTTATAAGATATACTACCTAAGTAATTTCAAAGTTATCTATTTATTTTTACAGGACATTCTGTATACTCATTACTTTTACTACATATAACAAAATTATTGGCCAACGTGCAGAGTTCAAACGCGGACGCGCGGGGCCTCGCCGCTAACAGCTGGGCGCGAAGTTTATTATAGTAATAGAAATAAACTAATGAGTACAGGAAAAAGTTTCTTTGCGAAAGTTGTTTGTTATCATGAGAAAATAATAAATTCTAAACATAGGTCACTTTTTGCCAGTCACTTACACAAAATACGAAATAATAATTCTAAAATTCTGTAAAAGGTAAATTTTGCAAGTTCCTAATTTGAGATACAAATTGAACATATTAAAATTACGTTACACAATAATATTCAAGCAGGAATCGAATCAAAGATACTAAGCTAACTTACTTTTTTCTTAAAATATTAACTAACCTGTATCCTCGCCAATGTCTCCTGTCGTCCGAAGCCTTGTGGTAGGGGAATAGATCGGCCTGCATGCTGACCAATGTCACTTGCAGAGCACCGCCATTGGCTAACGACGGCTTTTCTGAACGACCCACTGTTGATATAAGAAAATAATCTTTAATTTAAAGGCATAAGGTTAAAATTTGAACGGTATTCACAACTGAATTGATAATAATACTTTTTTTAAGTACGTCAAATGAATTAAATAGGATATAAAAAAAAACTGAAGCGCAGTTTGATGTTTCACATATTTTTGTTACGGGTCTGGGTGTGATTTGGATCCGAAGTTACATGTTCGTATCTCTCTCTCTCTCTGAGAGAACAATCGACAATCATCTGCCTCTCAGAGAACAATAACTTCTGCAGAAATATATAATAATAATAATATATATTCTTCTATGTTAAGAACAATAATACCCGCAGGCCCACAGAGTAACCATAATCTTCTAGGTATGCCACTTATATTAAGAAGAGAAAAATAACTTACATCCAGGATCGTCACAGAGATGCAGGTCTATTCTGGGAGCCAGCAGATGGTACGAGGTCTCCCGGACATCATGCTTGGCGAACATTCGCGCTAGTATATCACGCTCGCCCGTCGCCGGCCTGCTCGATATATGCTCGCGAGGCTCCTCGATCTGGGATAAAATGAAAATGGAAATGTAAAGAAATGCTGCAAAAATCGTAAGCTAATAATGGTTTTACTGGAACCAAATAGTAACGCAAGTACAAGTGTTTTTAGTCAGTAACACCCGGTTTCTGAAAGGATTGTCAACGCTAAAATTAACTAATCTCTTGTTAAATCTCTTGACAAGTCATCTGATTGGTTGTTGATAATTCAGTCAACAAATCAGGTGACTTGACAAGAGATTAAATTGATTTGAACATTGATCGGCCTTTTGGAAATCGGGGATGAGACTCATCAAATGACTTCTCCCGCCCAACCTAAGGTCTATAGAGAAATTAGCTTTATTCTTCTTTTTATAATGTAAGATTATAGATTGGGTGTGGCTCACTTCTTATGAGAACGGCCATTTACCCCTTAAAAAAGAGGCCCAATATTCATTTTGAATAAAACTTTATAAATTGAGATCTGATGTCATTATATTCTTAAAAGTACATATAACTCTGAAAATGTCACATTGGCATTGAAGTAAATACTAAAAACCTTGGGTCACCACCTTGATCATGCATTCGTATTAAGCAAAATGAAGTCTTATTTACCTTTCTTAAGGCTTTGATTCTAGTAGCGGCGGCAGTGGCTCTCTGCACGGGCTTGGCGAGTGCCACGGCGCAGGCTAACATGGCGCGTAGCTGTCCGTCGGTAAGAGCCCAAGCGAGGGGCTCCGGGCATATCGCTAGCCGAGACCCTATCACTGCACAGTCTGTGAAAATATAAGGCATTGAAGACTTGACATAGTCAAATACAATACATTTTGTGCTTTGTTTAAACCAGAACAATTTAAATTTTAATGTTGCCTGTATGTATGAATCAATCAATCAATCAAGTTCATTTATTTCAAATAGACCACTATAAACAATTATAAACGTCAAACAAAAAATAATAAGCAAAATGTTTGAGTAATAGTCTGTCGGTTTGTCTTCTCGTCAAGCTATTTGTTTATTTCAACGTGTAGATTCATATGGAGAAGAACGACTTTTGTTATATCATTGAGTCGGTTCTATTATGTGAGAACAGTGTAACACTAAAGTGTGGGAGAGCCAAGCTTCGGCATGAATGGGTCGGCTCGACGGAAGATCCCACGGCCTAACAGAAATCGACGGAAACATCCACAATGTTGTGATTCACCGTGTGAGTGAGGTCACCGGAGGCCCGATCCCACGTCCCATCCCTCTCCAATCTTTAAATATCCGCAACCCTCATCCCCAAAGGCCGATTGCTTACACCAGGCTTGCTCAAGGCGAATTGGCGATTTTAAAATTATAAGTCCAGGTTTCCTCTCGATGTTTTTCTTCACCATAATATATAAGTGGCGTCTAAATAATCATTGAAAGTACATATAACTCGGAAAACGTCACATTGGTACTTGCTAGGTTTCGAACCTGCACCCTCATGCATGATGCCTTAACCTCCGGGCCACCACGACACACCTTTTCCTCACAGATTTTTTTTTATATCGATTAAGAATATTGGCATGAACAAGAGCGATTGCGCAGAAAATCATTACTGTGCACTAAAAGTTAATATAAATAGTAAAAATAAAACAGATTTTTTCAAGAAATTATTGTGCATTATAAAAAATACTATAATAGGTTGAAAATAAGGTTGAAAATCGTTCATACCTGACAATCTCTTCTTGATGACAATGCGACAATGCGTATTGCCCAGTAACAGTCGTAATGGGGGAAGATTGGCGTTGGCTGCCCCGTGTGCTTTGGCTTCTATGCGGGCGCTTTGCCATTCTAACTCCTATAGTAAAGAAATAAGGTTGAGCATTGCTTAACAAAGAACATGCTTGCGGCTCTAGGGACGCTTTGCAATTATAAATCCTGTGTCAAGGGAATAGAGTTGAATATTGGTTGTATGGAAGAAATATACTGGTTTGTGATTACAGGACTTTTTTGCTATTATATTTTGTAGACTGTGTCCATATGGTTTATTTTACCTTAAATATAAGCAGTTGTCCGGTATCAGGTGATTTGATTCTAGTCAGTCTTAGGTCTCCTTTCCGACCCTCCGGCGTCCGAGACTCCACGGTAACTCTTGAGATCTGAAAATTCAAAAGAAAGAACCTAATACTAAAAATTTATTTATTGGAGCGGTGGCTGGGCTGCTGGCTGCCGTGCAACGTGTCGCGGGTTCGTTGCCCGCACGGGACAACTCTTTGTGTGATCCACAAATTGTTGTTCCGAGTCTGGGTGTGATATGCATATGAAATTGTATATTACAACATATGAGAAAATCCTAATGTGGGGAAGCAACGTTTTTTTAAGTATAAAAAAGAAAGAGTATAGTTAGAAAATACCAACGTACAAATGTTGCGCAGTAGCCCGCTAGGCAGTATCACCACGACTAGTAAGAGAATTGACCTTAAGAAATTTTACTCTCAGTTCTTTTAAACCCTGGTTTCATCAACCTTATCTATACTAATATCATAAAGAAGTAAAATTTTTAAGTTTGTATGTAGGGGGCAATCTTTGGAACCGCTGGTCGGATTGCCGAAATTCTTTCACTGATAGATAGCTACAATGTTCTTGAGTGCTATAGGATCAAATGGAGTTCAGCAGCGGGAAAAAACGCGCGAGATTAGCTAGTTCTCATATAAAAAAGACTTTTGAATAAATGGACTATTTCTTCTCTTAGAAAGTAGAAATCCCTGGGGTATTTTTAACTTGTTTGGTTAGAAGACATACCTGAACACTGCTGGTGAATGCTTCACAGTTGAAGTCTATTTGCACGTGGTTCACAGCCACTGAGATTCCATCTATCACCTGCAAGAGTACAGAGCAAGTTATAGTTATACCCAAACCAGCTGACCTGGCAAACGTTGTTTTGCCATATACAATATTTGAAAAAATAACTAAAAAGGCGAACAACCCTTATCATATTCATTCTTCATCATAAGATAGTCAGTAGTCGATTCTCAGGATTACTGAATATGCTTATAAAATTTTATAAAAATCAACACCTAAAGCGGTACCTTTTTTTTGTCAAGGGAAAATCATCCAATGACTTCTCCCGCCCAGGGTAAGGCGAGATTGTCACTCTTACTGACTAAAAACCCCCCGTTCCTTCTCCTGCTCTGGGACGAGGTCACGGTGCCTCATTGCGCTTACCCCGCAACCCCGGCTGAACATCAGCTCTATAGGGCCCCGTCTGTGGTGGTCTATTGGCTCTTTGAGGCGCGCGCGGAACGCTACGCGCCTTACGCTCGGGTCTAGTTCTGGTCGAGCGGCGAGCTGCCCTTACTCGCCGTCCGCAGACCCGCGCTTACGATGGCCGGAGATCATTTCTCGACCTAAAGCGGTATCGGAATTTAATTTACCTTATGTATGTAGCTGTATTTTCCGGGCACGGGCAGGGCTCCGGCGGCGTTCGGGTTCATCACGCGTGGCTCCTGACATACTTCCAGCGCTATGTGCACCTCGTCCAGGTTCTGTGGAGACCAGATATAAAATATAATAATGTGAAACTCGACTGTGTGGCAACCAGAATAGAAGTAGCAACCTTCTGTTTAACAGCACTTTAAAGCAACTATTTTTCTCTGATAAACATGGCCCATTTATACTGCCACATTTTATTCCTCTGCCAAGTGTAGAGGTTATACCAAGTCCTCTATTTTTAGAGGAGATTCAAGGTCCATTGATCATCAGTGGATATCTACATTAGAAAAAAGAATAATAACTATAGTCAGAATTTTAATTCGATTCCTGATTCGACATGACCTACTGTCATTTTGTGAAATAATGATACCACATATAACAGTGTAGTGATGAACACAAAAATCGATAAACAATCAGTGAATCAGTTTCAGGAAGGCATTCAAAAAATTACGGCTACCGAAAGGTCTAAATGCGTATCTCATGTTGTCAAAGAAGAGGAAAAAATGAGTAAGCTAGATATGTTAATTGACAATAAATATCACAGACACAATTTCATAATAAATGTTACAGAAAGTAACAGCGATAGCGATAGCGATAGCGATGACGGCGACAATTTATAAAATGTCTGTTTTATTTGTCATGTTCCTCCATGATCACATTTTTTATTAATTTCACACACAATTACAAAAGAAAAGTCTCAGATCGTTAATTAATTGTCAAAACTAAATTATCGGTTCAGAAATATTTTATTTCCTAATAAACTTAGTTTACGAGAGTAAATTTATAAACGAGAGGAATCGATTCAGAAATATTGGATATCCATATCGAATAATTTCGCAACGTCACTATTTATTGCGTGTCATAACGTTGCAACACTGAAATTGTCAAATCTGGAATGGAATTAAAATTCCGAGCATAAACACAATTTAAGTAAACTTCAAAATAAATTTCTCTCGTCCCAATTACATCTTTTGTTTTTCATTGAGAAACAACCGAATAAATAAATTTAATAATTATTTTTACACATATTACAAATACAAATATATCGTTCCTCATACAAATATATGAATATTTCAGAACAGCATACTTTTCATTCATTAATTCAACAGTTCATTTACAAGACGTTCAACCTTGAGAAATTTGAACACGTTTGGGGGAATCCCTGCGCATTAAGAATTTAAAACTAGTTTGTTTGTTTTTGTTCTCGCGTGCGTAACGCTGTCTTTACTAAATATAGAACTAATTTAAGGAAAACGAACATTTTTCTTTTCCTTTTTTTTTAAAGTTTCTGTAATCGGCTTAGCCAGTAGTACCAGGGTAAATAGTAGCTATGAATTATACCAAACTATCGACCCGCCCCGGCTAAACACGGGTGCAAAATTGATACAAAATTTCTTTACTATTTAATAAATGTTAACACATATAAACATTCCCCTTTACTCACTCTATCTAATAAAATACCGAAATCCGTTGCGTAACTTTAATACATGGGGATATAGGGACAGAGAAAGCGACTTTGTTTTATACAATGCTATAATATAACTATAATCTATATCTGTGATTCAGATCCGTTTAGGTTTTATGGGGATAGTAAAAAATTTATCCATACTGACAAGCTTTCTTAATACTAATATTATAATACTAGTTAGATTCAACTGAACGAAACACACTGTGTGAGTTTCAAAGTTAATTTACAAGTTAAAATATAAATATGTAGAGAAGATAAGTTTGTCAAAAATAAGTTATCGTTATTGCCAAATAAAGTTTTATCTAATCAAGCGTGGTGTGTGTATGTATGTACATAATATATAGGCACGTGTGTAATAACTACAATATATGGAATACAAATGTTTAATTTACAACAAATAATAAATAGGTACCTAATTCCAATGTGAGTCACATATTGTTATCGATAATGGAAATGCCTTGATAGACTGTCTGTTAGATCGAATTGTTCACTGTTTAAAATAAAGCATTCGAACAAAATTAACAAGACCTTTCATGGTCACATTTTTTTTTCGAATACAAGCATTTTTTTTTATTATACGCTTACTAATAGGTACCTATATATAGGATACCTACAACATAATTACAAAAGCAATATGCAGTAATTTTGCCATTTTCTAGCAATGTTTCCGTGTACTAAAGTTTTCTTCAATTGTTTTTATTTCCTATACCCTTTTTTATTGTATTACTTCTTTAAAATGTGTTGTAAATGAGTAATAATGTATTAGTTCTTTTGTCAGTTTGTCTGCCACGTAGCAACTTAGCATGTAAGTTTTTGTGTACTACTACTGACTATCGACAGACAGATATTTTAGTTTCCTAAGCAATGATATAGAACTCCTTTTTGTTGGAATACGCAGGTGCTGGTGAGGCAGTGAAAAGGCCCTACATAATTTGGTATCTGGTTTTCAAATTAAACATATTTAGTGAAAACAGGAGCATGTTGGTTTTCATTAACGTTTTCTGTATTATCATCAGCCAGTTTCCGTTCACTGCTGGACATAGTCTTCTATAATTGCATGCCACTGATCTCGATGTTCAGCTCTTCGCATCCAACCGCTGCCAACCTTATTACAGATATCTTGACTCCACCTTCATGGAGGGAAAACTTCAGAACACATCTTCCCCAACGGTCACAGGTTTTCGACAAAAGTTTATTTGTCATGGGCATGTCACAGCTGTTTCAATTTGCTTGACCTTTGGGACACGTCGACTCTTTAATTCTCTGTCGGACTACTTCGTTTTGATTAGATTTTCTCTAGGTAGGTATATGTTGTAACAATTAGTCATACTTATCAGGGGTAATAACATCCGTTCAACACATTTTTTATGGAATTACGTACTATTAATTATGGAGCCATTATCTACAATTGACAATTTCTTATCAATATTGAATACAAGTATACCTATAGCACCTGTATCATTACCTTTAAAGTAAATAACTAGTGAATATATACTGGGTATTTTAAAGTGTGTCACTTATCTATTATTTCGACACATAATGCTTAAAGATATGTCTGTTCATTAAACGCTGGTAATTTATATGCTATACTAAGGACGCACTGCTATAACTAATTAGTCGTAAAGGTAGTTCGACCGGACAGATACCACCGCCTCACAGAAAACTGGCGTGAAACAACTACAGCGTTGTGTTTCGCCGTGTGAGTGAGGTTACCGGAGGCTCAATCCCCTCCTATCCCCCAAACCATTCCCAATCCTTAAATATCCGAAACCCTTATCCCTAAAACTCCGCCAGCTCACTCGTAATACCTTTGGCTTTGCGGGTGTCTATGGGGGAACACCGATTGCTTACCATCAGGTAATCCGTCCGGTCGTTTACCGACCTAATCCCATAAAAAACTAAACATTATAAAGATTGGTTTATTAAATGTCAAGTTGCTAATTTTTAATAGGTACTAAATATTTGTAACGATGATTTAACATAATTTAAAGACTAGCCAGACCTTTTTTGAGCACTACATTCTAGGTTTTATTACAAAGTCTATGAAGTAGATTTACAGGATATACGAACAACGTAACGATTGGTCATAAGATCAAGGTTGAAGTCAGTCAAGCGAAGCTTCATTGCATTATTCATTACGTAGGTATCTGGGTTCAGTGTCTTGTTCATATAATTGTCGTATTTATGACTTGTATTGTTGTTGATAATATCGTAGTTTGGAGGCTAGAGATATTCTTTTTTTGGTTCTGTGAGAATTTGTAGACGGAATTGTTAATTTGTTTGCCTTCTGAACATACCCTGAGACGTATAAGAGTTTCTGATTTTTTTATAAATAATATATATAATCTAAATCCCCCCCACTTCCATCCTCAATCATCAGACACCCTTATAAACCTTTAAATCCGTAACAACCCACAAGAGGTCGGTAATGCACTTGGAGTGACTCATTTGATATTATACTATGTCAATGGGCGGCGTCGATTACTTACCATCAGGTAATCAAAATCAAAAAGTGTATCACTGTACTCTTTAATACATATGTAACTGGTACATTACAAATTGCCTACAATACTAAGTAATATTGTTGGCAATTTGAACTACTTTCACAAGACTACAAAACCCGACGCCTTATTAGGTACCGAGAATATTAAATTGTAATACTGAATTACCTATAAACTGATACTTTCCTCGAACCACGAATAGCTGTGTAGATTGAATGAATCATCAATTCCGTGAAACATGGCAATAAAATAAGCTATCTACGTATTATTTAAACTGCAATCTTCCGTATAAGTGCAAGGAAAAACCTACTTAGAATGAACTAAAAATATAAGGCCAAGGGCACGACGGAAACACTACCTACTAGCATTAGTATAAATAACTGCAACTACGTAATATAAACATGCAACATAGCATTCTATATGCATTTAGGCAACGTTGTTTTCATAACACGCATCGTCGCGTTCGTGCATAGACATAGGTCTACTACTTAGGTACTCCATAAGTTTTGGGCTATGTTATAAGAAGAAAATATTTGAACATATGGAAATGTTTTGAGATAACATCACATCAACAGCCTATAAGAGCCCACTGCCGAGTAAAGGCCTCTTCTCACACGGAGAAGGTTTGAGCATTAATCACCACGCTTACTCAAGGCGGATTGGCAATTTCAAACTTATAATTAGTAATTATAAGTGCAGGTTTCCTCACGACGTTTACCTTCACCGCATGTCAGTGCAGGAAAAGATCGTGAGTCTAAATAATCTTAGAAAGTACATATAACTCCGAAAAAGACACATTAGTACTTGCCACGTTTCGAACCCAACACCCTTATGCATGAGAAGCGGGCGCCTTAACCTCCAGGCCACCACGACAGTTTTGAGATAAATCGTCTTTAATTGATTTTGACATTGATGACAATGATTACAGTTTTTGCGCTCATAAGTACCAGCTCCAAGTTAACCTACCCATCAAAGGGGCTTGTCTTCTTTTCGGCACTCGGACACACCATAGTTTAAAAACATGTTTAGGTCAGAAATCTTTAGTATTTTTGATTAACACTATAGGTCCTACCACTCCACAAGC